TGTTCTCTCGGGGGAAAGACTGCAAATTAGCAGTTCGGGAGATACAAGGAAGTTGGTTGTTTTGTTGTGTTTTGCTGTTGTTTTTTTAAAGAGCACGGTTGAGTTACGGTTTGGGTCTTGGTTTTGTTTTGTTTTTAAGAGATGGAGACTTGGAATTTGTTCTTAAATGAGATTGAAGGGAGATGGCAAATGGTGCCGTAACTCCATCCGCGATTTTGTGAGTGTGCAAGCAGAAAACACCCAGGAGTTCACAGGCTGGGTGCTGTTTCTTCGATACTGCTCACTTAAGAGGTAATATGTATGTAATTAAAAACAGCATTTAGATGATGTTCAAAGAGAAAAATAAGGTAGTCAGTGCAAAGGATGTCTCCCTCCTACTTCTGACTGCTAGTATTCCTTGTGAATTGCAACCAATTGCTACCCATTCTTTCCAGAATATTCTCTGCATTTACATGTGAAGAATTCACACATGTGCATCTTTCTTTTTGTACCTTGGAGCTCATTTTGTACCTGTGAATAGAGATCTGGCTCATTCTTTTTATTTATTTATTTATTTTGAGAGAGAGAGAGAGAGAGCAAGTGCATGCATACATGAGTGGGCGGGGTGGGGGAGCAGAGAGACAGAGCCGGGGAGAGAGAATCCCAAGCAGGCTCTGCAGCTGTCAGCACAGAGCCTGATGTGGGACTTGAGCTTACAAACCGTGAGATTATGATCTGAGCCGAGAAATCAAGAGTCAGACGTGTAACTGACTGAGCCACCCAGGTGTCCCTGTTCTTCTCTCCTACTAGCCTTTGAAACCCAATGTGTGTTTTGCTCCTGCAGCAGATCTCAATGGAACCAGCCACAGTTAAGGAGTTCAATGGCCGCATGTGGCTAGTGGCTAGCCTCCTGGAGGGCACAGCCCTAGACCCTCCCCCCGCCCCCGACCTGTTGTTGATCCACGTTGAATGAGCCTCTTGCTTCTCCAGGCCTCTGTTTGCTCATTTTTGAACGGAGGTTGGGTTGGATCATCTCATTGGCTGTCCTTCACCCTAACGTCCTCTGACTTTCGGTGCTACAAATGGAAAGTCACGGACAAGCCAGGACAGTCAGGTCTTCTATGGCAGCTTGATCTCCACATCTAGAAGATGGGGACAATCAAAGGTGACCCTGATCAGAGTGAGGATGAAAAAAATATGGCAGCTGATGAGGGTGTGCTTTCGGGAGGAGGATAAATGAGGCGTGTTGGTGTTAGGGGTGGTGGTAGGATTAGGACCGACCCTGGTAAGTGCTCAGAATCCACCTGCTAGATGCAAGGTTGCCACCTGGGTTCACTTCACCTTGTCCATGGGTAAGGTGGGGATAGCAGTTTCTCCTTGGGGTCCCTGCCAGGATCAAATAAGGCACCCGTGCCGAGGGCTCAGCGCTGTGCTTAGCACACAGGAGACTCTCCCTTACTAGAAACTGCTGCCCTCTCCACCCTTCTGGTTGCAAAAATGCAGCCCAGAACGGGGAGCGGCTTGCCCAAGGTCGCACAATGAGATGGTACTGGCAGACGCTGGCCTATTTTGGCTCCCTCCTTCTCCCTGGCAATTGTCCCGAAAGTCAGCCGCTAATTTCCTCGCAGCCAGGTAAATGAAATAAATACCCCCGACACCACTGAACTACTCGAATGAGGCCCGGGTCCAAGTATTGTTTCCACGGTATGCACCAGGGCATGCACGCATGTGATTTGTTTAAAGTCACTGCTCCAAAGGGTGGAGGCTGGGTCGGCAGGATACGCGGCCCGGCACCCGGCTCCTTGTGTTCAGAGCCCTGTACCGCGACCAGCGCCAGATTCCGCCGTGTGATTTCCAGCAAAGGACCCCCTCTAGATGGCACATGAACGACCTCTGGCAAAACTGCGATGGTGTAGAAAATTAAAATTAAAAGCCAGGAAGCCCGAATCGTTGCATATTATGTAACAATAACAGGAAGCCATTTCTTCTGAGCGTTTGCTGTGTGACATTGCTTGAGGACCCCGATTTCGCTATTTTATTTAATCCCCCTGGTTACCCAGGGAAGTGTAATTGCTTACCAACCCCATTTTACAGATAAGGAAATAGAAGTCCTGAGAAAGTAAAGAACTCCTCTGGAAACAGAGCCAAACGCAGAGCAAAAAAGGCCCTTAAAAATCTCCCCTGTGGGGGCACCTGGGTGGCTCAGTCAGTTAAGCTCTGGACTTTGACTTAGGTCGTGATCTCATAGTTTGTGGGTTCGAGCCCCATGTCGGGCTGTGTGCTGACAGCTCAGAGCCTGCAGCCTGCTTCAGATTCTGTCTATCTGTCTGTCTCTCTCTCTTTCTGTTTCTCTCTCTCTCCCTCTCTCTCTCTCTCTCTCTCAAAAATAAATAAATATTAAAAAAATTTTTTTAATCTCCCCTGTGGCAGAAGAGTAGCCAACCACCCCAGCTGACCCAGGAGCCTCCTGGACACTGGACATTCACAAGCTGGGACAAATCGGTCTCCCTGTGGCGACTTAATGTATTCATCTGTTAAATGGGGATATTTGAACCTGACCCTGGTCAGGTGAGGATGTGCTTTGGGGAGGAAAAGGAGGGAGACAAAAGTGTTGCGGGACTGTTATTAGGATCCAGATAGATCCTGGTGAGTGCTTAGAGTCTGGTCACTGAGACACAGGGCTTGTTCTCTCTCTCTCTCTCTTTCTGTCTCAGCAGACAGTGAATATCCCTGCTCCTCCCAAGCCCAGCCTCTTTCCGGTTGTTTCCAAAGATCAAGTTGCCTTCCTAAGGCCAAAGTCTGGGAAACAGCACCCCAATTTCCCAAGTGCCAACCAGCAGCCCTCCCTGATGGGGAAACCATCTGAGAAAGAGGAAAAACTGAGCTTGGCTGGGAAGGCATGTGGATCGCTTTATTCTTTTCCTTTTCTCTTAAGCCAAGCCCAAGTTCTGTCCTTTCCAAGGTCTGGCCCAAGCCAGAAGTGACCAAAAAAAAAAAAAAAAAAAAGCCCTCAGAAACCTCGCCTCCCTGGAAGCTTACGTGTGAGTCCCTTCTTTAATTAATGAACAGAGTCCACTGCCTAACTTGGACGCTCAAGAGAGATCTAGAGGTCCCGGCTGTCTCTGCTTCCACCTAAACAACGAACGTCCCGGGTTCAGTACCCAGAAGAAATGAGTGAAGGAAGCCAAGGGGTGGGGGGAGGGCCCGTCCTCCACGGTGAGGAGAGACACAGGGGCTCTGGGTGGTTTTCTCTGCAGAAAGAAGACACTCGGTTGGTCGACACACGGGCCACACGCGCTCACACACACAGCAGAGGAATGACACAGCATGAGGGCGATGCATGAATACACAGAGAGAAACACACACGCACAGCGTCGCCAGATGGAGAGCACAGCCTGGGCTGGGCCCGGGGATTCATTCTCCCCTCACCCACGCACAGGGACTGGTGGAGTTACATACTGCGAGCTGCAAAGGGGGAGGTGGACTTGCTCCCCGCCCCACCTCGAGGGGATCCAGGAAGTGGCACCTCCTTCTTGGGGGTGTCTGCCCCCCCCCCCGTCTCCTGCTCACAGAGGCAGTGGGAGCCGGTCAGCTGCCTCAGCCCCCGGATGACCCCGGGAATTCGCCAAAAGGGAAACAAGGGAGTGAGTGTCACTTTGCTGGTAGTGGCAGATGGGGGCTCCCTCCCTGCGCTGAGTGTGGGGACGAGGCCCGCAGGGAAAGGTGTCGGGATAGAGCTGGAACCAGGACTTGAACCGGGGGACGGAGAACGATGGAGGGGTCCTCTGCTGCCTCCCTCCTGCCCCCACTCCACCCACAACCCACAGACGACCTGCTCCAACCCAGACACGTAGGACTCACTAATAGCCGCCTGCTGTGTGTGCATTCCACAGGTGCACACCCCACCCCCCCCCACCCCCGGGCCATAGCATCTTCAGCGAGGTCCCCTGTTGCGCCCTGGTACCCCCAACCATACCTCGTGTCTCCAAGCCTGGGGGAGCCAGGGAGAGTGAAGAAAATAACCAGAATATGAAATTTAAAAAATCAGAGTGTAAGTTTAAAAGCTCGGGCTCAAGAGTGGGGCACACCGGAATTTAAACCTCTCTTTGCCATCATTTCTGCATGACCTTGGACAAGTGAACTACCCTTCCCAGGCTTCTCATCTACTGAAGGGTAATTGTGAGGATCAAAGGAGAAAAAATATATACATTAGGAGCGTACATGCTCAATAAGTGTCTGCTATGTTTAATCTTTTGGGATTTTTCTTCAGTCAACAAACACTCATTGAGCACGTGCTGTGCGCCTATGCTAACCCTTAGGGGGACACAGTCGCTCTTCCAAATGTTTCCGCATTAGGGTTTCGGGTTGTCTGTGGAATGCAGATGCCCTCCAGAGTTTTGCGCGAACCCATGTCTTCCGTATTTATCACACCAAATGTGGTTTATACTGGTTTGTAACGCGGCCACGTCTGTCCTTTTGAGCCTGGAACAAGTCGCTCATTACAAAAATGGTCAGAGAGGCCAACTGACATCATTGGTGGCCCTCCTCCTTCCAGTGGGTTTGTTGTGGGGACTTGGGGGGTAGCTGGGACAGAGGGTCCAAAGGTCCGTGCCGGCTGAGCTCCTGACCCGTGAGTGGAAAATGTTTGTAAAACACAGAGAGCCAAAGACCACGTGACAGGTTGACTTCCCGAGGTGGGAAAGAGATAAGAGATAAGATCGTGATTCTTGCCATCTGATCTCCACCGTTATCAGTGGTTTTTCAAGGAGACCCTCGGTCTTAGAGGGCTTTGCTCAGGGGAGGGGAAAGCAGGCAATTTGCAGCTCACTGGGAAGGGCCCCCCACTCCCCTCGAGGAGGAAGGATTTCATTTCTAGGTTGGCTTCCAAGCTCCAGCGTCTCGTGGTTGGACTTCTCAGTTGGCTGCATTTTCCATCTCGGCTTTGAGGGTGGTGTTGGGCACTCCACATCAATCTCTCTTTTGCGATTCTCTCCACCCCCTCCCTTGTTCCTCCTCTCCAGCACGGGTCTGACGGGCTGGCGGCGCCCGGAGAATAGTGTGCCGAAGCTTGCGTCACCTCTAGACACATCTAGACACATCCACCAGACACATCTCCTCCCCAGTCTGCCTGACCTGTTGCTTGGGGACACGTCCCACGGCTGGTCCTGACGTCCGCCTGATCAACCATCGCTTCCTAGAGAACGAGGAGGAAGGCAGACGCAGGAGATCATGCCACCGATGGCCGGACAGCAATGAGCGGGTGATGCCGTGTTGACGTCAGAGACGGAGAAGACAAAGCCCCAGAGCAGCTCATTCCTGAGACGCCTCAGCACCGGCCCCCTCTTCCTCCGAGCACGCCCTGAAGCCTGGCTCCTCCTGGTGAAACCATCTTGGCTTGACGCATTTTGAGGTCTTCAGACACCTGGGTAGTAGACACCATGGAGAATCAGGTGTTCAGCGTTCAGCAGATCCAACCCAACGTCATCTCCGTCCGCCTCTTCAAGCGCAAGGTGGGGGGTCTGGGGTTCCTGGTGAAGGAGCGGGTGAGCAAGCCGCCCGTGATCATCTCCGACCTGATTCGGGGGGGTGCTGCGGAGCAGAGCGGCCTCATCCAGGCCGGTGACATCATCCTTGCAGTCAACGGCCAGCCCCTGGTGGACCTGAGCTATGACAGCGCCCTGGAGGTGCTCAGGGGCATCGCCTCTGAGACCCACGTGGTCCTCATTCTGAGGGGCCCCGAGGGCTTCACCACTCACCTGGAGACCACCTTCACCGGGAACGGGACCCCCAAGACCATCCGCGTGACACGGCCTCTGGCTGCCCCCACCACCGCTGTCGATCTGTCTCACCAGTCATCAGCCAGCAGAGAGCACTCACCGGCAGTGGACAGGGCCACGGGTCCTGGCAATGGGCCGCAGCACGCCCAAGACGGTGGGCAGGAAGCCGGCTCTCTCCCCCATACCAAGAGCCGGGCTCCCGGGCCCCCAGGCCAGGACTCTGCCAAGAAGAGCATCCAGGGCAGCCAGAACAGTGAGTTGCTCAAAGAGATAGAACCTGTACTGAGCCTTCTCACCAGTGGGAGCAAAGGGATCAATGGCGGGGGACCTTCCAAGGCAGAGACGAAGGATGCAGAAGTCCAGGTGGACAGGTAAGCCCTGTGTGTGTGCATGGATGTGTCGTACGCAAACGTGTGTCGCAACTCAGTCTCATAGCCCAGAAGCCGACCTGAGCCGTCCCAGACACCTGCAGAGGCACATGCCCTCAACCGCTCTTGCCTCTTTCTCTCAAGACTGCAACCGTAGGAACAGAATGGGCGTAACCTCCAGCCTGTATCTCTTGCCACGAGACCCAGCTGACAGTCGCGGTGGCTGATGTCACGTCTTCCAGCAACCCCTCACTCAGCATGGGTATTTTTGCGATCTGCAATTCATGGGGCAGAAGACTGAGGCTCAGAGAGGAGGGGCCCTTCCCGAGTCGCCCCGTGAGTGAGAGCCGCGTGTCTGCGGCGGCCTCCGCATAGGGTGAATGCCAAGGTCCTGGGAAGAGAGAGGGGATGGGCTGAGGCCTGCGCAGGCCTCAGCCTAAACCAGCTCTCGCCTTGGGCAGCCGCTGGAGAGCAAGGGAGGTTCGAAGGGAAGGGAATGGAATCGAAGTAGAGGCCCTGGGCCCCCCCCCCCCCCCGCCCAAAACGGCGCTCTTGCTCAGAGTCTGCAGGAACCGAGGCGAGAACAGGAAAACCCGGGTCCCGGCCCCTCTGTGTTTGCCAGATTGGCATTTTCTGACTCTGTGGAGGAAGAGAACAGGTGACACAGTGGGCGATTCTAGCTCCTTCTCTGGGGAGGAGTGGGCAGCTGGGCCAAGGGGTCAGAGAATAGTGGGTCCAGGGACAGAGGAGAGAGGCGAGCTTCTCTGTGCGCCCATTCTGGTCTCAGGTTAGCACAGCCCCCACTTCTTATCCAGCCCCCATGTGGGGCCACCCAGAAACCCAGGACAAGATTTCCCACCCACCCACCCTGTCCCCAAGGACCCCTGAGTGTCCAGAGAGCACTTAGAGGTCCCCAGGGTGTCCCTCAGGAACCTGGATTAAAGCAACTCTCTCCAGGCCCCTGCACTGATTTCATTTAACACATGTTGGTTGAAGACAAACCCGGCACCAGGGGTGGAGGGAACACGCCGACCCTCTGACCTTGTGAGTGAATGAAATAGACGAGCCCCGTGAGCTTGGGGACCTTACAGTGTCACGGGGAAAAGGCAAAGAATCAGTGAGATAAAAATGTTAACATAAGTAGGCCGTCAGATATGTGCTAAGGAGATACACGGAATCAGACGGGGGTCGGGAGGTATTTCGGAAGGTGGATTTTAGAGAGAGAGGCTGGGCAGGTCTCAAGGAAGCAGATGTTGGAAGACCCGGAGGGGGGGGGAGAAGCGCACGTCGAAGCTTTATGGAGGAGGGGCATGCCGGGCAGAGGGATGGCAGGTGCCAAGGTCCTGAGGTGGGAGGGTGCCTGATGTGGTGGAAGGCCTGCGTGGGACCCAGTCTCCCTTCCTGACGGGTCAGCCCCCCAACCACCCTTTGAGGGGGGCCCTCGGTCTATGGCACCGCACCTCAGGCCACCGTTGCATCCTGGAGCTTTTCCAACTTCTCCCACCTGAGCAAAAGCCCAGCTGATTCCAGCAATACCCCGAGCGGGAAGGTGGGGTCTCTGCCAGAAGCCTCAGGGGTTCCCTGGTGCCCTTTGAGCTCCTGTCCTCCAACCTGCTTCTTCCCTCTTCTGTGAGCTCCTGGGGGGGGGGGGGAGACAGTTTGGAGTCTCCCCATACCTTTGGTCCCATCTCCACAGGAGACGGAGAGTCTTGGCCCCAGTACACAGGACATGGTGTTACCCTCTTGGTGGGGCAAGTGGGTGGGGGCCCCTATTGTCCTGACCTTCCTTGCCAGAGCTGGGGGCTGGGACCAGTCCTCAGGGCTGTCCTGGCATACAGAGATCTGGGGCCCGTTTCACCCATGACTAAGCCTGGAGACCCTCCCCACCAGGCTAGAGCCGGGTCCTCAGGGGAGCTGCCATTTCCCAGGTGTCCCTACGACAGCATCTGCAGCAGAGATAACATATTTTTGTTTTGAGATAACATAGGTCTTGATGTAGTTTCTGGGCAGCCAGCGGCCCCCAAGTCTCATCCGGTGGGCTTAAATCCTAAAGCATCTATAGAGTCCAGAATCAATCATTAGCCTGGTTTTCTAGGAGGCACCAGATGTGCCCCCCCCCCCGCCAACGAAGTCTTCTGAGCACAACCTCTTCTTCCCCATTCTGGATATATGTGCCTCCCTGCTCCTCAACACCCCCTTCTCCTAGGAAGAGCAATGGGGCTCTGAATGAGTGTGACAGTCCCCTCCCGGAGGCTGTACTTAGTGCTCCATATGCTTGGTTCTGATTCTCAGCTGGGCATGGGGTGGGCATGGGGTTGTGAGCATCAGAATTCCCTGGGGCTTTCCTTCAGCCCCGCCCCAGACCTAGGAGCCTGAATCTCCCTGTGTGACATAGAGAAGTCCCCCGGAGGGTCCCTCTTAGCATTGGGAGCTCGGCCCTCCCCCTCCGAGAAGCCAGTATGACCCTCTCCCAGCTGGCAGTGGCGGGATGCAAAAACCTGATGCAGGACACTAGGCTTGGGTGAGGTTGCCAAACGTGAAGGACTTTAACGGGAGCCTGGCCTCAGGGGCCCCTCCAAACACCGCCTCCAAAAACCAGCCTTTGTTTCCCCGAGGACCGGGGCGGACATGCTGGTCTGAAACGGGGTCTCCTCCGGCAGACCTATTTTCCCAAACTGGGAGGCTGCACCTCAGCTCTCAACCCGCCCTCATCCATCACAGTCCTCCCTCCAGTGACCCAAAGGAGCAGGAAACACTGCTTTGGAAGAAAGTGGCCCAGGGCAAGTACAGGGCTCCATGAACCCCGCTAGGGTAAACGGTTCTCAGCAGGAGTATTATCCAATAATAGCGCATGGTCCCCTAGCTCAGTGGCCCATGCCTGTGCTCAAAGCTCCCCACCCCCCCCACGTTAACAAATATTTTTAATGTTTTTAACGTTTATTTATTTTGAGGGACAGAGCATGAGCAGGGGAGAGGCAGAGAGAGAGGGGGAGACACAGATTCTGAATCAGGCTCCAGGCTCTGAGCTGTCAGCACAGAGCCCAACATGGGGCTTGAACCCATGAACCATGAGATGATGACCTGAGCAGAACTCAGACGCTTACCCGACTGAGCCACCCAGGCACCCCCACAAATATTTTTAAATGCCCCCTTTCTTAACCAGGAGCTAATAATGCCCTAACTATAAACTAAAGGAGACCAGGCATAAAAGTAATTTATCATAACAGAAGCTGTGATTTCGTCTATCAGCGCTCAGCTATTTGCCCCTAAACAGAGAATTGGTCCACTCACGACCGTGTCAAATGCAGGTGGAACCAGGTGTATTGTTTTGGCCACGCAGATGCCACCAGCGGTGTCTCTTTGGTGATGTGATCTTCCGAAATGGTGACAGACTCCCAATGAAATGATGTCCTGTCTTTTCCCAATGGTTGCATGCACGGAAAACTGAGTGTATTTTAAAGCCACGTTTTAGCGTAAGACTGAATCGGGGTCTTGACTCAGAAGTTTAAGCTTGCTTTTCATCTTGGTTGATGTGCTAAGGTCGCATGGCAGGCAGGACCCTTCTTCCTTGTGTGGGTTTGCCCCTGGACCATCCCCAATGCCACCTCCCTTCCACCGTGATGCCAGGGACCCTCACCATCATTGGAAAAACCAAAAGTGCCCTCAGAAATCACCAAACTAGGTGACAGGAATAAGAGCCTTGTTAAGTGTCAGCGTCCCAAGTCAGGAAATGCAAGCCCAGAGACAGAAGGGTCTTCAACGTCACTCTCCGGGCTTGGCGGGCTGGGGAGGGTTCCAGCCCCTTGGAGCACGTGGCTGCCTGGAAATTACTCAGCCTTCCAGTGGCTTCCCCATCCAGGCTGCTTTTTGGGGTGGGGGGTCAGAGCTGGCAGCCCGGATTCTGGATGCCCAGTGAGGCCGGCTGCCTACCAGGCCTGGAGCCCCACATCCGGGTCACAGCCAGCAGGCTGTGGCTTCCGGGGGCCAAGCAGAGGCTGGGGCCGTCCCTGGTTCTCAGCGGTGCCCTTGACTCTCCTACTCTCTTGGCCTCCTTTCCTTCCTTCCGTCTTTCCTCTTGGACGCGGACCTATTCACCTGCTTCATCTAAGTCCTTGCCCTCACGGGGCATCCCTAGTCCTGTTGTTTGGGAACACTGGCCCTCCGTTGGGGAGAGAAGCGATGTTTAGTCTAGACACAGTCTCACCCTTGATCCCAGGGGGAAGGTGGGCCCGGCAGGTGGTGGCAGTGTGCGGGGACCGTAAGGAAGGGAAATCTGGGGGCTTCTGGGACCTTCGGCACTTGGGAACGGTCACTTTAAAATGCTGCGTGTCAGAGGATATCCAGGTTGTTCAGATTGCTGCCCTGAAGGAGGGTTCTAAAGAGGCCAAGGTCCCTGGTCCAGCATCCATCTGGACCAGCCGGTCAGCCTCGCCCTGCGTTCTGATGACTTCTCCACTCGCAGGGCACTCGGTTACTTACAGAGAACCTTCATAATAGCCATCTCTTCAGAGCTTGGGTGAATTCAGCCCTGCTTCCTAAGTAGGTTGTATGGTTTGGGCCGCCTTATAGGCAAGGAAACTGATGCTCAGAAAGGTGGGGCAATTTGCCCAGAGTCACACAGCCTTGGCCACAGAGTGCTTATCTTGGTTCTGCTAGAAATCTCATGGTGGGTGGCTACAGTTGACACGAAACCGGGCGAGAAGAGGTGGCTGGAGGCTCAGAAGTCAGTTTCGATCCTAGAGAATGAGCTTAACTGGGGAGAGGAGGTCTCCTGTGACAAGCCTCTGTTTTATGACCAACATACTAATCAAGCTGTACTGAGCCCTCCAGGGGGCCTGGCCGCACACTAAGGTCTTTACATCAGTTACCTCATTTGCTCCTCGTAGCACCCCATTTTCCTAGTAAACAAGCCAAGGCTCAGAGAGGCACAGTCACATGTCCCAGCTCACAGAGCCAGCAAATGACAGAGCCAGGACTTGACCCCAGGCCCATGCTCTTGGCCT